TTTTTAAATGTATTATATATGACAATTTGTTTCCTGTACTAACATATAAGTTGGATTTGTTTTAGATTTTGAAAAAGACTCTGTAAATTTAAAACGTAAATCAACTATGTAAATTACAAAATACACTATTATTTTTCTACGGTGACTTTACTCCTTTATTCGGTTGTTCTTTTTTAGAAATTTATTTTGATTGCTATGCAATATAACAAGCGTTTATTGTTACTATTTACTATTTCAGAATATTTCAATCGATATTGTAAGAATTGAAATATATTATGGTGAAGATCAAACGCACCAACTTCTGCATTATTATTGCTTTCAATCACCCAGATATTTCTGATTGATGATTATTTCAGAATATTTAAAATATATTTAAAATATATTTTTTACTTTATATCATAAATAAGGACACTTTAAAATATCTCACCTCCTCTTAAAATCTTAAAAAATATATACATCAAAAATATAATAAAGAAATATACTCATTTGGCGCGTTTTCATTCAAAACGAAAGAATTTCACAGAAAAACACGGCAATCAACCTCGTGAATCGAGTTATTAAGCGTTAAATTGATTCTACAATGAATAGGTAGTCGATAGTCCTAAGTCTTATCAATGAATCGGTGAAGTTATCCAACAGCCAACTTATACGATTAAAACTACCGATTTTCTTAAGACTGACCCTTCTCATTAGTCGAGCTAAACGACTCGTTGTACAACTAGTAGATGTGAAAAATCATAGTCACCTAAGTATTAAAACTTAAGATTTCCGATTACCGACTCATTGTAGAATCAGCTTAACGCTTAATACTCAATTAATGATCTTAGTCGTAATTGGCTGTTAGAGGTTAAGATATATCATCCCAACTCGATATAGCGCTATGGATATACGCTGTATTTCTAGTTTAATTACATAAATTCTTTATTTTACAAAAACAAATTCGCTTCTTTAAAAACACAAATTAACTGCTGTAAAAACACAAATTCACTACTAATGCAGAGAATTTGTGTGCTTAAAGCAGTGAATTGTTTTTAAAGAAATGAATTTGTTTTCAAAATAGTGAATTTGTGTTTGGAAAACAGAAAATTTGTATAATTAAAACAGAACGTATACATAGCGCTGTATCGACTTAGGATGACAGATATCTTAACCTCTAAAGTCTCGAACTTTAATGCTTAATCAATTCACGAGACCACCGCGTTTTTCTGCGAAATCCTTTCATTTTTAAGTTAAAATGCGTCGAATGAGTATATTTTTATTAAGATTTTAGGAAAGGGAGGGAGGGTATTTTAAACAATTATTTAAGTAACGCTTTTGGGATTTATTTCTTATTTTATATTCCAAATAAGTTTTTGAAATGTGTGTTCTGTTTTTTATTTTATTTAAACAAGTCATATTTTTCTCGTAGTTTTTCTCGATTTCTCCAAGTTTATATTTTAAATAAGTATCTAGAACTTATTTTACACTTTATTTTAAATAAGTCATAATAGTTTACCGAGCTTAATTGACAACTATTAAATAACTATTAAATAACTATTAAAACATATAGGTTAGATCGTAATTTTTCACGAGAATAATTAATTCATCGTAATTAATGGTTTACGGTTTTTAGAAAAAGAAAATACGTACCGTTTTTTATTATTTGCCAATTATTCGTCAATATCGATCGACTATTAACGTAAGTTTTATCTCCTGATCATTCGTGTAAAGAATTCGAAGTACGATGTAAACAATACATTCTACATAGCTGCCAATGATCACCAAGGCAGTTGCCAACTCGCTGATAGAAAAAATCTCTAAATAAGAGTTGAAAAGTTTCTAAAAATTTCCAGAGATTTCCAAAAAAAAACTTGAAAATCTCCAGTTTTATTAGAAAATGCGAAATTTTTTCTATAGTAATTAAATTATAACAAAAAAAAAAAAGAAAAATTAAGGCCGCAGCACAAACTTTTGCATGACGCATAACGCATCGTGCATAAGCGAATCAACTAAAATCATCAGAATCTTTCCTTTCCTCGCATTCACTGAAAAAAAAAATTTCGATTGATTGATTCTCTTATACATTAAGGCTCGTCTACACGACAAGGCGTAAGCCCGATCTACAATAGATTTTTAAGACTTAAGCTATAAGAATGGACGAATTACAGTTGATTATTCTCCTCACATTCGACTGTAAAGGTGCCTTTTCATGCTGACGCTCAACGCTCATTTTCAGCATCAAAATAAGTCACGTGATCAAAATTGATGCGTGATATTCGTCAATTTCTATAGATACATTTTCACAGGCGGATAAAATAAGCAATTGGAGATATGTCGCTCGTTATCCAGCGGCTGAAATTTTGTAGTTTGAACAGTTTCAACTACAAGCGTCAAACGCTCAAACGCTATTGACAGTGCTGACATACTGTATCGATCGTGTAGACCACCATTGATTGCGATATACATAATCTAATTTATTTTTTTTTATTTCTGATCCAGATAGAGGATTCGATGTATTCAGAATAATCTAATAAACTGTTTAATTCAACGTATTAATATTGCAAATGATACATGAAAAATACAATAAAAACAGCATATCGAATCTGTCGCTCAAATGTCAATTTTACTTGTCCATTTTAGTGTATAAAATTGTCACTCTAATAATTTTGCGACAAAAGTCACATGATCTTTTTTGTCGCTGAAACGGCCAATTTGAGCAGCTCGTGAAAATGCATCTTTTTACATGAAAGGTATTCTCATTGGATATCGCGTGTCGCGCGCGACGAACATCGCTCTGATGTGCCCAAGCCATAAGTCTTAAGTCATAAGAAATGGACGAATCATAGTCGATTATTCTTTTCAAATTTGACTGTAATTGGTCAATTTCTTACGACTTAAGACTTAAAATATTTATTATAGATCCGGATTTACAATAGGTGTTTTAAGCTTTAAGCCGTAAGAAATTGATCAACTACAGTCGAGAATTGATTGTGATTCGTTCATTCCTTATGGCTTAATAAGGCTTAAAAATTTATTGTAGATCCGGGATTAGTGGCTAGCACATCCACTTTCTCATCTACTAATCACATGATTAATTTATCGAACGGACCTCTGCATGAATAGCCGTTACAGTATAACTAGAGCACTATAATGTAGGTATTCGCATCCGCCATTTTGTCTTTTTTCTCACTTTTTGTTCTCTCTTTAACCTTCTCTCTTCTCTTTTCAATCTTAGTTTAGCGATGAAATGGAGAAAAAGCAAGGAATTAAGGAAAGGAGTAAAAGAATGAGAAAAAGAATAAAAATTGCGGATGCGAATACTCGTTTAGTATCTTAGTATAATTACATGCAGTAGCTGTCGACTCCTTTGATATCGGTAATCATCGATCACGTGACTGTAAGCCATGTTGAAAGTTTTACGGACCGCTGAATTTAAACGGCATCAAGAGATGTATTATTTCGCATATAAAGTATTTTTTAAATTAAAAAGTATTGTATATATAAATTCTATATATGATTTTAGATATACTATATAGATTTTAGATATACACTGTATATACCAATATAAGTCTATTTTTTTGTTTCTAATTTTAATATATTAGGTGTAGTAAAAAGAAATCCATTATTTTTCCAATAGATGGCTTTAGTAATCTGTATCACGCGTAGACGAAATACAGATTACTAAAACCATCTATTGGAAAAATAATGGATTTCTTTTTACTACACCTAATATTTCTGGAATGAACCAAATGAAATTATAAAACAGTATGAGAAATATTTGTAAGTCAACAATTAATTAACAATTTCATTCACAATGTTTAAAATTGGGATATAAAACGTCTCTTTAAGACGCCATAACATAAATCTTTAAGACGGTTTATTCCCCAGTTTTGGACATGTATTCAAATTTATGCTGCCTAGGATATAGGATAGGGATAGAGAAAACGGTAAAACAATGAAAAATTGTATTTATTTAATTATTATAATATAAGGGTGATTCGATAAGTCTAGTAAATCTTTATGAGATGGTGCCACAATCCATTTAATTGTGACTACGTTGTGGCTGCTGTGCCCAATGTGGCGCAATGTGTTAGGTAATTACTTGCGCCGTCAGATAAATGCTTATGTAGATTTTTTAGTTTCTCGTATTCTAACCTAATAATGCGATACCGATATCCAAGCTGTAGTATAACGCATGCAATTACGTTTCTATTCTTTCTGTACATTCGATCTGTACGTTCCACATATTTATTTGAGCTTATATTAAACCATTTTATGGCTTGTGAATCAGAAACAATGAGTAACATTTCTTTGTGAACTTAGTGATTTCCCGCCAATTTTCCTTTACTATTAGTTAATCGTCGCCTGCGCCCAGATACAAGCTTGCATTTTGAAATCAATGCTTCAGAATGGCTGTCGCAACAAACTTGCGATCGGCTTGCAACTAATGTAGAACTAACTTTATACGGTATCATAGTATAAATATATACAGTATGTACAGTATGGACACTGATCGTCGGCACCTTTGACGTAGTGAGTCCCAGATCACATGATTCGCATGTTGTAGGTTGGAAAGGCGCTTATAAATTTGAGTTTTTATAAAGCTATAGAATGATTTTTCTAAAAAAAAAGACATAATTCGATCGTGTCATGAAAATTGTTCATAGCGAGATTTTTGAATCAGAATTATATAATAATATAATGTTAATGAACTCATTATATTGGGTCATCTAAAAAGTATCCGCGGTACTTTGTCACTAGATATATGACCATCAACACACATCTAGTGACAAAAAACCGCGGATACTTTTTAGATGACCCAATACATTAGTTGCAAGCCGATCGCAAGTTTGTTGCGACAGCCATTTTGAAGCATTGATTTCAAAATGCAAGCTTCAGATTGGTTGTCGCAACAAACTTACGATCAGCATGCAACTAATGTAGAACCAGCTTAAGGGAAAGCGCATAGCATAAAGCCGTAATCACACTAGTGATTGCCGATTGAATTGAGATTGCGATTGGCAATTGGTGATCTACAATCATTCAATTACACTGACGATTGTAGTTAGGAATTGTGGCCGCTACAATCGCTCATTCGTGTCTGAAACGAAAAATGGCATCGAAAAAATGCCAAGAAATATTAATATTGGCAACTGCGGGAGCAAGAATTGATTGTGATAATTATTATGCTCCTTGCAAGTAAATGTACCAACAAGAGAATTTGGACGCATCGATGGATAGCAAGAAGAAAGGAAAAAGGATTATATCATAACTTTTTCTTGGAACTCAGTCTAGAAGATCCTAATAGATTCAGGAGGTGTATACATAAGAGTTTACATTCTTTAATGTACATCTAAAAAAGAAATATTAAAATAATCAATTAATAATATTTATTTACAGTGTTTACGTATGGACACAGCAACTTTTGAAGAACTTTTAGAGAAAGTTTCTCCTGAAACTTGTTGAAAAGAAGAATACACATTTGAGAGAAAGCATTTCTATTTTAGCAGCAGAAAGACTTTCTTTAACTTTGCGGCATTTGGCTACAGGTTAGATTAAATTAAATTATTGGATATATAATTGCTTTTGTTTATATTTTATATTTTATTTTTAGGAGAGACAGGAATCCTTGTCATTAACTTTTAGAATAGGTCAAAGCACAATATCTGGCATCATAAAAGAAGTATGTCGAGCTATCATTACTGTATTATAAAGGAAGAATATTTAAAAGCTCCTTCTATTGAAATGAAGTGGCAAGAAATTGCACGAAATTTTGGTGAACTATAGCAATTTGAAAATTGTATAGGTGTAATTGACGGGAAACACTGTAGAATTGACCCACCACTTAGATCAGGGTCACTTTATTATTGTTACAAGGATTTCTTCAGTATTGTTTCAATGGCAGTTGTCGATGCTTATCTACGCTTTATATACGTTGATATTGGGACAAATGGACGAATAGTGATTCGGGTGTATGGAATAAATGTACTCTCAAAGCTCGTTTAGAAAGCAACAGCCTTCATATTCTGGATCCATCTTCATTATCGGGCACAAGAGAAATGTTTCCTTATGTATTAATAGGTGATGAAGGTTTTCCTTTAACAGAGAAACTCCTTATACTGTATCCTTCTCAGTGCTTTGGTAGAAAAAAATCGTAGAATTTTCAATTATAGGTAAGGTACCTTTTTAAGAATTAAATGTCAAAATTCTCTTGATTATGATTTTATTGATAATGGATCGATGGTAATACTGTATTATACATTTGCCAAGAGCTAGACGTTGCTCAGAAAATGCTTTTGGTAATTTTGGAGCCAGATTCCTTTATATCGAAGTGCAATGAGATATGATTCAGATGATGGTGAAAAGATAATAATGGCAACTTGCTGTCTCCACAATATGTTACGGAGTAAAGTTGTTGGCAGGGCCATGTATACACTTCCATCATTTATTGATGAAGAAGATATAATGTCAGGTGAAATCAGACCGGGCGATTTCCGGGAAGAGTCAGCAAATGGTTTAATAAATCTGGGTAATCAAGGAGGAAACAGGCACGCAAATTCTATTTTTCTAAGAAATAAATGGTGCGACTATTTTAATGCAGTACCATGGCAAGAGCATATGGTGCGATAAAAAAATTGTAACATTATTTATACGTTCTTTAAAAATATATCTTTTATAGCTACTATCAGAAAAAATACACATGAGAATAATACACAGTATAAAATACAAGTAATAGACTATATTAATACAGAGAGAAAATTTGCAGATTTTAAATAAATATTTACTCCAATAGTATTAATGAAATATTTACTAAATGTAAACATATATTTAGTTGATTTAAACACAACTATTTTATTTGAATAAATATTTATTTAATATAAGTAAATATTTCGTTAGTACTATTGGAATAAATATTTATTTAAAATCTGCAAATTTTTCTCTCAGTGTACAAATAATATCTATTTAACATAACATTTAAAAGTTGCATCTATTAAACATATGCTTAAAATAATACGAAGCTTATTTTTTTAATCTAAAGTATCTAATACTTATATAAATATTTTAAAATATTTAATGTTTATATATTGTTTATATACTTATATGTATACTTTAAAATAATGTTTATGAACGATTTGGCAAAGTACGTTTTGTTATTTGTGTACACATACCTATTTTTTTAAGGGCCTTAGCAAAATGACTGACTCATAATCTTAAAATATTTTATGATGTAAATTTTTTGTTTTTTTTTTGCTACGGCCCTTACAATTTCTATAATTTTTATTACATTTTTTTTTATATACCTTTAAATAAAATATATAATGTTTCCAACAGTTCAACAAACTTAAACGTAACACATTCAATATTTAAGTAGCAGTGATCGTTTATGCATATTAATGAAAATAATTTTACACAAAAATGTGTAATCATACGTAAATAAAAAAACATTGTGGTACTGTATCAAATAAGAAATAGAAATAGAATTATAAAAATAGAATATTGTTATCAGCATTCATTATTTTCCTTTCGCATTTTAATAGAGGAAACAGTGATAAGAATTTTTAGAATCTCTGTTTCACAATACAAACGTCTTTCTGGTTCCATCTCTCTTAATCGAGCAGCAATAAATAAACCCAGATGTTCGCAAGCATCAATAATCCTAGGTGGTGATTGTTGATGCATTTGATTTTGTGATGTTTTCGTATTACCTATTCTTTTTAATGCTTGTACTGCTTCTTCCATAACAGTTGTCCTTTTCATTGTGCCACGCTTTACATAAACTGAATTATTGGCTTGCTTGTTATTTTCAGACATAGAAGTTCAATTTGAAGATTGCGAAGATGTAGATGTACAGCGAGAATTTTGTAAGTTTTCAGAAGAAAATAATTCAGAATTTGTAATGTGAAACGCACATGGCTCTTCAGATAATACAGATGTATGTGGAACTCCAACTTTTTCAATTGAAATACTGCTACTGCTGGCAGATGCAGTTATATGTGTGAGTGGCACATTTGTTTTCATTGTTCATAAATATAGTTCTCATATTAATGAATCTGTCACGAATTATTTCAGTTAAAAAATAAAATGTTAGATATCTAGCTAATATAGAAAAATATAACCTAACATAACCTTAATCTATTCCATTAAGAACAAGGAAAATGAAGTAAAGAAAATTCATAAAAATAAAATTTATAGCAACATTATATACTTATTTAAATCTTCTTACCTGTTATATTTGAGATCCCCATAAGATCTGCTACCTCTTGCCAAAGAACTTCTTTTATATCGTTTCTTGTGTACATTGGATGAGAAACATTCCATAACTGAGATCTATTTTTTACCGCATCAATCAATAAAAATTCTTGATCAATAGTAAATGTCTGCTTTTTTGGCGGCATTATACACATAAACTTGTATTCTTGTATCAAGTATGACACTTTTGACTACAATTTAATATATTATTAGGTGTACCAATAAGTTTTAAAGCGTATTTTGTGTAACGTATAATTTAAACTTAGAATTCAAATATTTTCGCGTTCTTTTGATATGTTGTGGCGCTTAATATAACTATTAAAAAACATAATTGACTTCACAAAATTGGAAACTTAATCTCAAAATTAAATGGTTTTAAAATGGCGAGCGACAAGCAATTTATTCGACACTGCATTCGATACGAATTTCATCAAGGAAAAAGCGCTGCTAAAGCATGTGAATCAATTTGTTTTGTTCTTGGAGTCAATGTTGTATCCAAAAGTACGTGTGAGTTTTGGTTTAGGCGATATAAAGAGGATGATTTTGATGTTAGCGATAGAGAACGTAGTGGTGCTCCTCAGAAGGTTACAAACAATGAATTGCAAGCATTACTCGATCAAAACTCATGTTAAACACAAAACGAACTTGCACAGCAACTTGGAGTAACTCAACAAGATATTTCGTTTACGGCAGATGGGAAAGATTCTGAAGAAAGGAAAGTGTGTGCCGCATGCATTAAGTAAAAAAAACAAAAATGATCGTCTTGAGAAGTGTTTGAATCTGTACAATAAACAGCATAGAAAATCTTTCTTGTGGAAAATCGTGACTGGTGATGAAAAGTGGACTTTTTACGATAATCCTAAAAAGAGAAAACATTATGTGGATCCAGGACAACCCACTACATCAACGCCAAAACGCAAAAATCCATAGCAGCAAAGTTGTGCTATGCATCTGGTGGGACATGAAGGGTGTGCTATATTATGAACTGCTCCATTCGAATGAAACGGTTAACAGTGATCGCTGCAGTCAACAATTGATCCGTTTAAATCAAGAAATCGAACGAAATCATCCATTTACTGGCAAAGGAAAACATTCTGTGAAATTGCTTCATGACAACGCTAGGCCTCGTGTTGGTAAACTTGTAAAGGAAACGTTACTAGCTCTTGGTTGGGAAGTTCTGCCGCACTCGGCGAATAGCCCAGACATAGCCCCTTCTGATTATCATTTATTCCGGGTGGATAATTTTATCGCATCGAAAGACGAAACCTTCTTTGCTTCTGGAATTCGCAAGCTGCCCGAAAGATGGCTAAAGGTCATAGATAATGATGGAGATTATTTTGATAATTAAGTGTATTTTCGTTTCTAAATAAATAAATATTAAATTTCATTAAAAACGCTTTAAAACTTATTTGTACATCTAATATATCATCGAGACACATGTGATTTGGTATCACGTGACTAAAATCACAATATTTCATTGGCTACCATTGGTCGACAACTGCGATTGACGATTAGAAAATAGAGCATTGTCTAAACGGCAGTCACTAATCTCAATCGGAGCTCAATCGTGTACTGCTTTGCTTTGATTGATTGAAAAGTAATCGTCAATCACCAATCGCAATCTCAATCCAATCGGCAATCGCTAGTGTGATTACGGTTTAAGGGGCTCCGCACAATAAAAGGAATAGGGAACAGAGAACAGAGAATAAGAATTTCAACCTATCAGAAATCATGTATTGTGGAACATACACAGTTGCGCAGCAACGCACAAGCTTATGTATAAACATGGCATAAACGCGAAAATGCCACAACTAACCAGATTTTATGGAATGATTTTTTTAACCTCTTCTTGTGCTTCGTGTCTGCTCGTGCCGCTCGTTCCTTGTAATAGTTGTTAATTCCGCCTTATTGCGCAAAATAAACTGAGAAGAACAAGGATATTAAAATATAAGAGTAATTTTATTTTTATATATATTTTATTCATAAGACGGTTTTTTGTACTCGAAAAACGATTTTTTTCTACTCGAAAAATAATTTTTTTCAAAATGTATATAATATAATGATCGGAAATCTTCACAGAAATAGAAAGAATCAAGACGATTTATCGATATTAATATACAATTGGAAGCATGTTTGCAAATCAGTTAAATATCTTTTCTTTTAGAAATTTTGGTGTAAGTGGCGAAAAATAAACTTGTTGCAGAATTCTTAGAACGTGCAAATAATTGTGTCTCCATCAAGATACAGTCTTGAAAAGTTCGTAATATCTATCAATTTCTTATATAAAATTAAAAACATATGTTTGCAAATTACTGATAACATTTCTTTTTTTAGAAATTTTGACGCAAGTGGTGAAAAATAAATGTCTCCTGCAAATGCGACATCTTTGAACAATCTTTACACAGATTGCATCTGAATTCAAGGCATATATACTCGAAAAGTTTAGACTTAAATAAAAAAAGAATCAAGGAGTTCCACAAACTTTTTTATTTTCTCAGTCGTCATCATTCCTCAGAGCATTGTTTCCATTTCTTAGCATGTATTAAAGAACAAACACAATCATATCTCTATAAGAGTATTTATCTAAGATTTTTCTAAACATTTGGGATGAAATTTTTTTGTTTAAAATATGTATATACAGATATAATGGACTAAACCAAGTGAAAAAATTCTCATTTTGCAATTTTTGATATTTTTTTTAATTACTCAATATACAGAATGTTTAAAATCGACGCACAACTTTGATATATCTTTAAGAGTTCTTTATGAAACATCTTTAATATATTTACAACTGTAAAAGAACCATGGATCCCTCTTCAGTTAAAAAAATAAAATTATATTTGATATGATGTCGATTTACGAGTGGTTAGCGATGTGACTTCGACATTTGTGATGTGCTTAGTTTAGGTTTTACTGGATGTGTTGAGCAAGTGGAATCATCTCAAAACGTGGTCGAAGACATGTGATGCAGTTTATGGAACTTATGTAAACCTGTTTACCATGGTGTCTCTGAGTCACTCTGCTTTTTTTTAAACGTTGAACCATCGTGGTTATGCGAGATTCAATTTGATGATGACATTTATGAGATCTAATATTTTTTTAAAACTCGGATACAAAATTTTTGTATAACATCGATACATACATGTATATGTAAGAGTATACATATACAGATTCCGATTTTAAAAAACTTATGAGTGAACAGGAACATCACGTCCATGCTTGTGTAGCTCGCAAAATCTCGCAATGTATGACCGACAAAGAGGCTCGTTTCTATTTATTTTTGTTTCTATAAAAAGACTCTAGTGAAATATGATTTATATAGATTATGATTTATATAGATTCTCGGTGTCCTGCAAATTAATTCCTTGACTTTGTTCTTTGATATGTTTCAGATATTCTTTTATTGTAATTATTTTTTATGTCTAGTATTTCTATCCCTTTCCGATCAAAATTATGATTATTCTCTAATGTATGCTGTGTGATGATTGTATATTTAAACGGATCATATCTAATATTGCTTTTATGTTCTTTTAGTTGCGTTTTTGATTGTCTCTTTGTCTGTCCTACATACGAGGCATCACAGTTGCAACTTATTTTATATTCTGAGTGTGAGTTTTGTTAATTCTATCTTTATGTACTCTGATGAAAGAGTTGAGTTTGTTGATACATCTATATTCCATTGTGTGTGTGAGATTATTGATAAAAGACGTGATGGTATTGGAAACTGGTTTTCCACTTGCTCAATACATCTAATAAAACCTACGCTAAGTACATCGCGAACGTCAAAGTCACACCGCCAACCACTCATAAATCGACATCATATCAAATATTATAATTTTATTTTTTTAACTGAAGAGGGAACCTGTGGTTCCGAAACATTTAAAGCTATATTCTTAACATCAACATTAAATCAAGTCTAGTATTATATCGCACTTTATATATTTTATCTGTTAAAGACTCGATTATTGACCTTAGTCTATCATTGTTAAAAAGAATATGATAAATTATTTACATATGTGTGAAATCAGTTATAATTTACGTGTTTTTTAACATAACATTAACATTGGAAAGCAAAAATATTATTCAAAAACCAAAATCCGTTTTGACAGATATTTGCGTTATTATTTGTTTTGAACTATTTTTATCAGTCCATTTCCACTTTATTATTGTTTATATATTTTTAGGTATATTTTGAACTTATACATACTTGAACATCATATAAATTTCTATAAATATGGATGATGAAGATGTATTTATTTTATCAATTTTGTAATTATTATGCTTATTGTCTCCAAAGAAGAGAGTGAAACGAAATGGTTACATCGAAGGTGGTGGGACCCATTAATGTGGTACGACCTTTATATGGGAATTTTCATCATCTCTTCCAGGAATTGAAATATAATGATTTTGATATATTTTATCGATGTAAGGATGAAAAAGGAAATTTTTAATTTTCTGCTACAAATGACATCTTCTTTGACTAAACTGAGTAAACGTGCATTTAGTCCAGGACAACGGTTAACTCTAACTCTAAAGTATTTATTGCTTTTGTTTTGTATAATTAAAAAGAGAAATGCACTGACATGATTTGAACAAAGAGTTCGTACACTGACTTTTTTTCTAATTACATAATAACATTTGGTAACATATAGTAATAATATTTGGTATGGTAATATGTTTCTATGGTATAGCATAATATGTAGTAGGAAATCTAACGAATACGTTCAATACAATTTTAGTAACTAACGATTTCATATGCAGTTTTTTGTCAATAATTGCAAGAATAGTTTTTAATCATCGGAATGGAGCGTCATGTTCCGAATAAAAAATAAAATTTCTTGTAAAATTTGGGGAGAGAATGGATAAAAAATTGATATATTATTTGTATTGTATTCATTTCATGAATTTCTGGCACATTCTGGCACTTGAATAATTCCGATTGAAATCCATTTTGAATAATTTCATAATACACACTCTGTAAAAAAAAACTCATAATTATTGATCCGAAAAACTGCATGTCATGCAATCATTATTGATCAAAATTGTAATGAATGTATTCGTTTAGACATTTTATTACACGCTACGTCATCATAGAAACCTATAGTGTTGTGTAACGTCCGCCGATAAAATAAATGCCAACGTACTTCTACTTAGAAGAGATCGTGCTATTCATACAATTTCCAAGCTGGTCCACTCTGGTGAACATAACATTATGTTGACAACATAAAGTCGTAAATGGAATATTGCTATGATTACGAAAATATACAACTAATTAATGTAACACTATCTATAATAATACAATAGTTATACTCCCATTAATTTTCATTTTCTTTTCCTCGATTCGAAGCTATTTAACAATAAATGAAACAAAAAAGGAATGAGTTAATAAATATATCCTTTAACGCGTTGCATAACAATGCTAAAGAATAACATATAATAATTTCCAAATATTGAATGTCAACTCAATGTTATTGCTTACAAATATATATATATTTATATATTATATATATATATATATAAATTTATACAATATCCTTTTTCTATATATAACATTTCTATAATCTTGAGAGATCTAAATTAATAAATAATTATCAAGTAGCAATAAAATATTGTAATCAAAATATATTCATCGAATCTTTTTCTCTTAGCGAGTCAATGTAGACGACACAAAGGAGTGTCGCGCGTTCTTATCTCTAAGAGAAGATAATTACTCCAAAGGAATTCGTAACATAAACTAATCGTAAGCACTAGCTTATAGAAGCTTTCGAAAATCAAAATTTAAAATCTCTCAAACTTTATGGAAATGAATTCCACTTTTATTATTGCAGTTGCGACAACAATTAGAAATTGATCGCAGTTATAATTATTCTTAATAATATGTATACATTATTTATATTATATATATACCTCCTGTTTAATAAATACTTTATACACATAGTTTAACTTTAATGTTCTAACTTACTACAGTTTAACTTGTATAACACCTAAGTATTATATATTATTACTGTAATAAACAACAAAACTATTGTCTAACAGTGAATTGAGCGTTCATAGAAGCACACGTATTCGAATTTAAATGATGGAACTAATCTTCCGCTTTACAAGGTAAAAAAAGGAAATTAGAAGAACAAAAAATCAAAATCTAAAGCAGAATAATTATTTTATTGCTCAAAAAAAATAGACGCTCGATTGACTATCGCAGTACTTTGTCTTATCCGAGATTCGAAGACATCGTCGCGTAGCACAGTTGTCTCCGAGTCATTTTAAAATGTTCTATTCCATTGTCTCAGATACAGATTCAATACTTAATCTAATTCTATCTCGTTTCTTGCGCTGATCAATTTCAACCCTAATTCTAGTTTATCATAAACCTGAAAGATAATTAATTATTATTATTATGCATATCCAAGGCATATATATATGTATGTATATATATATATATATATATATATATATATATAT